GATATTGTCGTGACCTTGACATGAAACAGACATGTTCGTGCGCGCACAAAGGTAGAATTCTACATCTTAACGTAACATAAGGGTCAGTATTTAAATATGATTTTTTATCGCGATTGTGCTTTATTTTTAATTTCTTGTATTTAACAATTCAGTGTGTATCTAAACCTAAATAGTTTTGACAGTGCGCGGTATGAAACGCACTGGTCCACAGTGGTCCATCGTCTGGGTCGACGCACGTCTAGCCGCGTCATCTTCCTCCTCATGAAGGACCTGAATTAAAGTGTGGCTGGGTCCGAATGTCCACAAGAGCGATCAATATTGACGAACCGTGTCGTGTTAATGAATAAAACCTACAAGTGAAATCGCAGGTGAATGAGCCAGAAATCTTACAGAAACAATAATACTTTGTTATATTTACTTTCATTAGTTTTCGTATTCGAAATGTATGCTGGTATTTATTTATGTATTTATTTGCGAAACAACCATTCCTGCAGTCCTCTTTAAAATATGAATAAATTTTGGTTTCTAGCTGGCGTTGCTTCGAACAACCAAGTCCAAACTGGCTTCATGGCCAATCAGCGCTCTGCTAAGTTGGAGAAGGAGGTCTCAGGAAAAAAACTCACGGATCATTTGCGTCTAGTTCGTAAGTTGGGAATCCAGGCCACGGCGTTGAGAATCCTTTTAGCTGAACGTGAGAACATGTCACAGGCTAATGACGAAACTTCACTTTTAAAACATTCAAATGTTAAATTATAATTCTTAAAAAAAAAAAAATCTGTCTCGCTCGTGCGATCATCTCGTCGATTCGGAATAATACATGAGTGTTGCGAGGACAAATATGGCAGGTGACATACGTACACTTACGCAGACATCTCCGAAACGTCTGATTTTCATTCGTCGGGGAAGACTACTGCATAGAGATGCAATGAAAATGGGTTAACTGAGAAAAGTCGTGGAAATTTCCATCAGAATGCGTAAACTGAGGTAAAAATATGAAGATTCTCGATGGGGGTAGGCGGCATCCGGGTAGAGTAGACACGGATTTAGTAGGATGAAGTGAATGCCTTGCTCTGTCAAAGACCTTCCAATGCTTTGATCTACTCTACATGTAACGGTGACGTGTTTATATAAAATACATAATGAATTTATTGTCCGCTTATAAAATTTTGCGGCGATGACGTCATAGGTAATATGCGTGATGTTTTTTTAGGACAACGTAATGGGCTTTGAATTCAGTCTTCTACTTCCGACTTCTCTGGTTGTGGATCAACAGATTTCCTGATTGTCTTCCTAATCTATGGGCGTTGTGACCATTAAAAGAATCTTGAGTTCTGCGAGAAATATAGCCCCAGGACCGGAAATACATGGAGGAGGTTGTGTGGAAAACGTGCATGAAGCCGATTTGACGACTGAGGAGGACGTTTTGGCCGGAGGGGAAAGAAAGCCAGCGGAAGGCGAAAGTAGAATGCGTATAAAAGCGACAGACGATTCTCAGTTGTTACAACTTCTCGCCTGCCGGGATCAGACACACAGGAACCATGAAGCTTCTGGTGAGTATCGCTGATTACTTCCGGTGGAGTGGTACAAGAATCTCTGGGCACTGACTGGGTTTTGCGTCTTACAGAGTACGCAAACAATGAAGTGAGTAGAGTCTGGGATATTTAAAACGCAACCCATAAACACCTTCACACACAAAAACGACAAAACCACGGCGATACTGAATCTTGCATCCAATTTAAGTTTTTGCATCTTATTCATCGGTGAAATCGGTAAATTTAAGCTGCTTTGTCACTCGGCGAACTCTTGCCACAGACACTTCCTGTCTTCTGAAAGTTTGTTATTAGTCGGCGTATCGTTGTATTATTTGACATCTCATCGTCAGAATACACGTTGATAAATATTTCATGATCAGCAAACAAACGACTACGTTGAGAAATAATCTTCCAGAATTATTCTAACCGCGAATATTTCGCAAATGGCGACCTAGCAACTAGTGCAGGGGTGGGAAACCTGTGACCTTCTAGGTCCTTAAGTGCGGCCTTTTGTGACTGAATCCAAATTTTACAGAACAAATCCTTTTATTTTTATTAATATATTTTTCAAGACGTCCTTTAGGTCACAATTGACGGATTTCTATCTACAGGATCAACTGAAACTCTATGCTGCAACCAAACATTCAAAAAAAGTCATTAAAAGATTAGTCAACTTTAAAATTAAAAAATAGTTTTCATTTTTTGAAATTATTAAGTACATAGTAGTTAAGATTTTTGCAAAATAATGTACATTTTTAAGTATATCTAATTGAAGTCTCTTGAATGCGGCCTTCCAACATGAAAAGGTTCCCCACCCTTGAACTAGGGTGACCTTAAGTGTCTCAGGGGAGTTTGAGCGAGTCTTTTACACTGGGGTGGACCATATTCTGTTTTCATTTTGTGTCGAAGTTCCTGATTGCTGTTGGGTTGTGTTTTAAATAGCACGCTTTGTATATTTCTCGGTAAATATCTTGTGGAATCAACAAATAATAATTACGTAGTGCATGCTGCCTTCAAGAGCCTAAAATCCAATAAAAGCTTGCCACCAATGGGTTCAGAATCATTTTTCCACGGGTTACAACTTACAAGACTGTTCTTCTGTCTTTAGTTTTGGGGGTTATGAAGCTTGGTCTCTCATATTAAGTGTGTCTGAGAACAGAGTGCTTACGAGCACGGTCCGAACTATGAGACAGAGAGAGTAACAGATGGACGTAAGCAGTTGACGAATTACATTACTCGTGTTTTTTTCCGTCTAATCACAATTGTATATAAATAAAATTATACATAAGATATTTTAATATCTTATGTATAATTTTATTTATATACAATTTTGATTAGACGGAAAAAACACGAATAATTAATTCACAATATGACGCAATTATATCAACTTATGAATTACATTACTCACAAAATATTCTTTGGGTGATCACATGAAGTATAATGAGATAGGACAGGCATGTAGCAGAAACGTAAAAGATCAATGAAACATCCAAAATTCTGATTGAAAATCCAGAATGGAACGTCTACTTGTGAGACCTAAACATAGATGGAGCGGTATAATTAACATTGACCCTAAGGAAACAAGACGAGGGGTATGTGGACTGGTGATTCGGCTCGACCAGCTGAGCTACTATCAACTTTTAAGGAAGAGTTCTGTTCTAGGGAGTACATGAGACAGCTAATTTTAATTTATTTCTCGGTTGTTTGTGAAATGTAAATTTAGTTTCAAGGGCATATTTCAAAAGAACAACGATTAGTAACAACCAACAACAGGAATGATGTTATTGTACCATTATCATCATGAGATTACCATCGTCATTGAACAGAGTCCTTGAGCAGCTAGTCCAGAAATTCCCCAATTTTAAAGAATTCGAAGGTTCATTGCCATCTTCAAAAGTCCTACATTTGACTTTATTCCGAGCCAAGATCAATTTTAATATTATCCTCTCATCTACGCCTTTATCTTCTCTTCACGCATTCCTACAAAAACTGTATTTGCATTTGAAATTGCCTCCGCGAGTGCTACATAGTCCCAGCCGATTCTTAACAGGAACCAGGGGTCTCCAAACCACGGTCTATGGACTGGAATTTTTTTTTCAGTTTAACATTTCCGAAATACTTTAATCGACGGTTATTATGTTTATAATAAAGTCACAGTAAGAGAATTTTAACAACTTTTAAAAATAATGCCTGTGTGGAGTTCTGAAGAGCGCTGTGTGAGAGTGTGAAACTCGTGACTAAATGCCTGTAACTCAGAATTTTGAGTTGTGATGCTTACGCCAATAACGAAAGTATAAAAATTCGTTAGTTTTAACCAATTACTAATGAAAGTAAATTGAATTTAAGACGTTATCTATTGATGGTACTCATGTACAAAATAATAAAAATTTTCTGATAAATAAATATTTTCGTTTTAACAGGCTCACATAAAAGCTGGTAATGGGAATAGCAAATTTCAATAATACGTAACATACAAGAGCATACGCAGATCAGCTTCGTAGCATTCCGTGTCCCCCTTTTGAAGTAAGTTCGTTCAGCTGGACTCGTATACTTGGTACTTCGTTCCACAATTCTGTCCTTCAAGGGACAGAAAGTTCAAGCTCTTTGAGTTGTCGTAAATTCGAATGGACAGAAACTGAAGAGACGCATAATTTTAAAGTAATTTTAATGAAAAACTGCTGTTCAAATTCTACAAAAATTTATGTAAGGGCCAATTTTTATGACGAACATAAAACAAAAAGAATTTCTGTCTTTTTCTATGACAATATGGAGGACTTGAATAGGTAAAACAGACTCGTTGTTGACGTAATTAGGTTGCAAAGAATCAGGTCTTAATAGCGGTGTTTATAAATAAATTACATACATCTTTCACTTTTTGTTCTTTCACGGAGCAAAATTCTTTTTAAAGAGCTTACAGCTGTTCATTGCTGTTTGTGAAACAGCTCGCCGCTAGACAGACGAACCCAGTCCACAATCTCACGCCACGTTTATCTAAAAAAAATCTTATTTTAAGGAAGTTGAGAATACACAATATGAACCTGACAAACTGAAAGTAGCAGTAATGCAAGAAAATAGATGCCTATCTTCTGGAGTCTTGCACCGCTTAGTCTGATCGCCCTGATGACGGAGGCAGTATGACCTCCGAAACGTTGGTAAACATCTACCAGACTACACAGCGCAACAACCCAGAAGACAGAAATCTTCATACTCATCGCTGTGATAACCTCAAGTCAACCTTTTTTGTTCGCGTACCCCCAGATATAATTTCTCTTCAACTTTGTATCCCCAAAATTGTTGGTGTATAATTCAAGTTATAAACAGTATATAATCTACATCTAAAATAAATTAAATAAATTACATTACTGATTATTCAGTGTTTATCATAAAATAATATATATTTTTTTTAAATTTCACGTACCCAAGGTTGAATACCACTGGTTTAGACGACGACAGCTGACGTCAGCTACCTTCTCCCTCTTTTCTTTGTTTAGACTTTAGACGAAGGAGTTATTTAGTGCTTTTTAAATGCAGGAATTGCTTTGACGTGCTCCAATTTTCATAGAGTATGTTCAAACACATTCATGCCAGAATACTATTTACAGGTATTTTTCATCATCATGGTGTCCACGATGGCTCTGGCCACGGAAGAAAAGGAGAAGAACGAATCCTTAGTGGAGGAACAGAAGAAGGATGGAAAAACGGAGAAACGAGGAGTCTTCAATTTCGGGTACGGTCTTGGCCACGGCTGGGCCTTTGATCAGGGTCACGGTCTGTCCCTTGGGAGCTTCGGCGGCTTCGACCACTTTGGAGGGGAAGGAGGAGGCTTCGAACACCTGAGCCTGCCCGAACACCACGAACAGAAGCACGAGGCAGAAATCAAGGCCATCACCATCACGAAGGAGGTGAAGATCCCGGTGCCTCAGCCCTACCCAGTACACGTCGAGAAGAAAGTGCCCTACCCTGTGAAGGTCCCTTTCGAGGTGAAGGTGGAGAGGCCCTATCCCGTGCACATCCCCAAGCCCTTCCCTGTCTACATCGAGAAGAAGGTGCCCTACCCCGTCGAGAAGAAAGTTCCGTATCCCGTGAAAGTCGAGGTCAAGGTCCCTGTGCCCGTTCCTCACCCAGTTCACGTACCTAAGCCCTACCCTGTCAAGGTCCATGTCCCCAAGCCCTACCCTGTCAAGGTCCCAGTGTACATCGAGAAGAAAATTCCAGTGTACGTTAAGGAACACCACCATGAGGGACATCATCATGGCGGTGACAGTTTCGAGGGTTACCCATGAACTCAGCACAGCTCTTCAAGAACTGCGCGATGCGCTAGTCATTTCTTCAAGCCTCACTTTGTTGATTTAATCATCGCTTTCGTCTTGTAGATTTGCAAGTAACGTCATGGACATAAATTTCACTTCAAGGTCATAACCACTACGTCACATTCATCTACTTCAGATCCACATACAGCGCGCAAATTACGACGCAGGATTATCTAAAGCAGCGTACGCACACGCGCGAGTAATGACGAGTAACTCCACTTTCTCATGTGTGTATGGTTCGCCGAACCGTTCGACCGCGTTCGGGACGGAAGAATGACGAACGTTCGTCAGCGATGGATGTCGGTCACCTGAGCCGAGTTCACCGCTCTGTTCCGACGTCCAGGGTGGACGTGGAGATTCGAACACAGAAACTGTCTTTTTTTTCAGGAATCAAGTAGCAGGGACGCGTAAACTGACAGCGCTCAGCCGCTGAACGGATTAATCATTCGGCGAACTGTGTCTGTCCAGAAGTGACGACGAATATCCGAAATCACGCATGCGTATTCGTCCTCATCGCAGTTATGCGTTCTCTGTACTCTGCTAAGTAGTTTGCTGGCTTTAATTCTCAATCTTCGCTGTAGATCTCCTTGTATTTCATGTTTATGTTTGTAATAAATGGAGTTTTGTTACACGAAACTTTCTTCTTTCTTCAGTGAACCATAACATTTGTTACGATCTGTATCTAGAGCCTTCCTCATACAAGGTTTCGAATGTTTCAATTGGAATTTAAAACCACTGCGTGTTGTTTGGACGAAGTTCTCAAAAGTAACCAGTGTTAGGCAGGAGGATGATTTAAGATGGAGGCGTTTGCCTTTTTTTTTTAAGTTTCCGCCTTTCGTTCAGGCCTGCACGCAAAGGCCTGAACTACCCAACCACCCCCTGATTACATCAGATCACAGACTAAACAACGTCACATTTCCCAATCCTTGGTTAAAGACACTGCATTATAAACAGTTTAAGATGAGACCTCATTAGAGTTTCTGAATTAACCACCCCTAAGATATTAAAACGGTAGAACTTATGAAGTAACAAATATCGGATACTGAGAGAAACCAAAAGGTCACTCAAACTGCAATCTCTTAGCTTGCGAAGGGCAACATGTATTTTAGAATATGTTTAACAAACGAAGTGAGCTTTGAGGCAAATTTAAAGTTGCGGAAGAGACGCCAAGAATCTTCCTCCTGTGCTCGTAAACATTCATCGCAGCGCAAGACAACTGACAAGTGTATGCCTTATGGAAAATCCTGTATATTCCTTCCCTCAAATTATCTTCCAGTCCATGTAATGTGTGGAGTCTTTTCTTTTCACTTTGTCCTTCAAGCTAGCCCCAATCCGGGATACAGAGTTTCACAACCCATTCAAAAAAAAAACTGTGTAAAAGTATTACATTCTAAAATCCTTATTACTGACAGTTATCACGACTCGTTCCATTCATGTGTTTCCGTAACAAACTCCCCTGATTATGGACCGGAGTCATTATCATTCCGCCCCACTTTCGAGAAGTGACTGCGACGAGGTTCGACAACGTCCGGTGGACGGGGGACAGGGGAGAGGCCATTGTGAGAAGCAGCCATCTAAATAGCGGAAAAATTACGTAAGATCTTCGAGCGAAGAGAAAGGTTACATTATGGAAACTGGAAAGACACATGTTTAGAATAAGAAATTAATAACAGATTAAATTATGTGAGTACAATCGGTGCAAAAACTCTTTACCTTCCTTCGCCAAATAAAATATATAAGTAATTAAAGCTAGTGTTTCACGTACTGTATTATATGGGCATGAAGCATTCCAAAACAGGATGCAGGCGCGCCAAGACAGCTGGAGCTATGAGATAGAAGTAACAGAGTGAAGAGATGTTCAAATTGGAAGTTACCAATTGAAATTGCAGGATTTGACACATTCACTGTTACGAGTGTGAAGATAACTGCTTTCTCGATAGCAGCGCCGTGTAAGCTGGTAGAAGTTTACCAACGTGTCACTGGTCCTTGCTGTCTTAATCATCAGGGATACACCTAATTTACAAGCGTTTCAGAGGTCTTTGTTGCCTCCGTCATCAGGGCTAGTCCTTATTTATAAGCGTTTCAAATTTTTTTCGTGTCTCCATCTCCAGGGCGATGACCACGTAATAATTAAGGTAGCAAAGACCTTCGAAAGGTCGGTAAACTTCTACGAGACTACACCGCACAGCAACCCAGAAGGCAGCCATCTTTATCGGGTACTTTTGCTAGACTTCGAAAAAAAAAAAATGTTTTTTTAAGTGCAACATCAAATTGAACTGTTGTTCTTGAGGTATAATTATTTTTCAGTATTAATTAACTAAGTGTGCAGAGAGATAAGGAGGATGTTTACAGCGAACAGAGACTGGAATTACATACAGAATTGTACTCAGCAAATCTCAAGGCAAGGAAACATTTGGAAAACTTAGGCGTGCGTGTAGAATAATTGTATTAATTGCGGGGAATGGTTTCGCGGGCTAGATTTAATTAGCTCACGGCAGTTAGCAATGGCTGTCTTTTGAGAACACGATAACACACACAGATCAACCACGAGAGCGATGTCGTCGCCTCGATTATGGAGGCAGTAGGTACCTCTGAAATGTCTGTAAACTTCTACCAGACTACACTGCGCTACAACCCAGACGAAAGCTGTCATTAAATTGACCGCCTTGAGATCCTCAAAAGCTACAAAAGTGTGCAAAGTATCGAGACACGTTCTCACTGACTGTCCATGCACACAGCATCGGACACGTGGGGAATTCGAAGGCTGGAAATCATCTTAAAAACTTCACTGTACTGTTTTTCTACGGATTAGCGTTTACCACAAATTATTCGTGATCAACTTGTCCAACCCGATTCGTGTGTTAGCCTCGAGACCAGTTTTCCTGTCTCTCAATATGAGAGCTGAGATAATACCACGATTTCTTCATTCGACATAATTTTCAGTAAACAATCTCTGAAACCTTTCGACTCTCGTATCATGGGTACAATTAGAGATGCGTCTTTAATGAAGCCAGAAACCAATCACTAGCTTAAATCAACATTCTGACTACGCTGTGAGCTAGGCGACCGGGGGTTGGATTTTCCTGCAGGAATACATACTTTTATCTTAGACTCTAGAGCCTGTGTGTACCAGGGAGTTTCACTGGGACGTTTATGACTCACCTGAACTACAGGCTACCACGCGGTGCTTAATTAAGTACCAGGGACAACTTCACATTGATCCCAGTCCAGTCTACACCTAGTTTTAGACCGACCAAACCAAATTGCGTTTTGTGAATCCTTTCAAGTATCTACAAAACCCCTCATGTGGTGGATTAGATCAACCCAAGTTTCGTACTACGGAAACACAGCAGAGGATAATGCAAAGATAATTTTATTCTCCCACTCGAGAGGGGCCGACCGCAGAGATTACCCTTCGATGTGACCGGCGGTCCAACAGTTGGAGCGGGGATTAGGTAGTAGACGGTCGGTGACATGGCGAAAGTGAGTAGTGGCGTGGTATAAAAGCGAACAGCTTTCGAGGGTTGGTGAGTGGTACAGCCTCTGAGGCCGCGCGCGTCTAGCCCTGACACACGACGACACCATGAGAATTCACGTGAGTACCACGAACACGTGCTCGATTAGCGGGTGTTAATACTTTGCATTTATTAGGCTTTTTTCCCCACAAAATAAATTTTTTGAATACTGAGGTGACTGTCTCGAATCCACTGGACCAAATCCACGTTCATATAAGATGGCGTCTGTGCGTACTGTTGTGGGTCCAACAGCTGATTTATCGCCATTTCATGTGTGATAATTAAATTTGTGTCGTGATAAAAGCTGAATGAACGTGAAGATGATGTTTAGGCCGCATTTATTTATCTATAAATTTAAAAAAAGAAAAACATGACGCGGATTCCTGCGGTCATTTCTGAAGACGGTAATGCTGTGCGATGATAGTACTAATCGAGATAATTTCAGACAACAAAGTTTGCTAAATAATTATTAATTTATAATATCCACCTCTCTGTAGACGTCAGAATTTTCGAAAGAAATTCAACGTCAGTGTTCCAAGAAATACTTTTCTGTTTAGTCTGCATTATAGTGACTGGCTGTGTGACGGAAGTACGGACTTCATCTAATCACCATACTTCCTCAGTAATTTCTTTTAGCATCCTGTAGTTTAAATTTCAGTATTACATTCCAAGTTATGAAGTAATGGAAAGAATTTTTTAAGCAGCAACGCTGTTTAA